AATCAGCCTGAGTTCGGAAAAACTACCCCAAAATATAAGAACCCATTCAGCCTGAACCCAAAAATTCTAGGTTCTTATACGCGGGTGTTTACTGTAGTAAGTTTCATAAATTTATAAAATTAATACCCTATGCCTTGTTCATAAGAGTGAGCATCGTGCCATAACGACCATTCTTCGTACCCATTGACTCTTCGATCCCGTTGTTGTCTATTGACCAGCAGTCCGGAAACGAGATTGCATGACAGTGTTCCTTATTTGAAATTAGCGAAGCGTGGAAAAGATCATTTAACCAGCCTTGAACTTTGACGGGCCACTTGCTTTTTACTGAGAGTTTATAAATATGATGCGCCCTGTTTCTCACTCTTTTCTGGCTCATTTTACCCTATCAGACGGAAAAGGTCAGTACGAAATGTCGATGAAGCGGAAAAAAGACCCCCCTTCCAAAAATTGCACGTCTCCAGAACGTTTACCTCCTTCCCTCCACTGGGACCAGAAATGAACGGTCCCTTAGCTCGTGCCCTTTGTTTGAATCTGTAATTTTATTTATTCGACTTACCTTGAAACTAAAATTTCACTGCAAATCGCCGGCTCTTTGATACATTCATATTCTCTGTAGTATTCATGCTGAAAGAAAAGAAGAGCTCATGTTATCGAGAGTGATCCCGTGTTCTATTTTGGGCCACTGCTTGGCAAAGTACTCAGAAGTACAGGAGAGCTAACGTGACAAGACGTCTGAGAAAACAATGTAAACTTGGAAACCAGACCCCAGAAGACAGGAAATTGAGGTAAAAAAACAGGAAGAAAATCAAGTCAAGAAAATCAGAAATTTTAAGAGAAGATGGAATGGAAATGCGCTCGTTCTGTTTCCACGACTTTTTCCTGGAAGATAACAATAAAGAAGAGCAACTAGTAAAAACTAGCTAATGAAACGCACATTTTCCATTTGGAAATCCGCTTGGGAATTTAGGTCTACCTTTCAAGAAATCCCATTTTCCCGAGAAAATTTCCGTTGGGGAAGACAAAATTAATCTTTCCATTTACATTCCATCCGAAATTTCCGGATTCTGAGGGTAAATGGTAAACAACCTTGCAAACAGCCGAAGACTTGCCTTGACGTGCTACCAAATTCTCAGAATTAACATAAGTCGGATAACTGCTAAAATAAATAATAACAAGATACCCCAATAAACTTTCTATCCGGCCTTTCGAGGAAGTTTTTCCCTAAACATTTGCTCATCGATAAATTGTAAGGAGGTGGCTATTTCTAAGAAAGGGAGGAAATCCATAATACTTTTACGTCATCTCGTAATCTAATATCTCCGATCGATTTACCTGGGTTTAACTTCATACAAAGAGTCGTCTGAGGTCAAGCCATTCCTGTATAATCAGCTGCATAATGGAGCATATATTTACTCTTCTCCTCTGCCTGGTCTTTTCTGCGAGCACAGCGAGTTCACGGAAATCTGAAATGTTCATCTCCCCGAAAGGTAACGACACGCGATCGTGTGGGGAACGAAATGATCCGTGTCAAACGTTAGAGTATGTTTATGAATTGCTTTTGCCTTCAGGGTTTAATTCGACGGTTTTGCGACTTGACAAAGGAGAGTACAATCTTCGTAAAAGTCTTACTTTTGAGAAAGTGAAACATTTCAGCATATTTGGAGGATACGGCGAATCTGCCTCGAATGTCGACGTCGAAATAACTTGCGAACCCAATGGAAGCCTCGCCTTCTTCCTCAGTGAAAACATAACTCTTCAAGGTCTCAAACTGTTGAACTGCGGAGGATGGCAAGAGGCTGCTATTTCGTCTCCTCTTTCCAAATTCAAGACAGCCATTCATTTTGACTATTGCAGAAATATTTGGATGCGAAGCGTCCAGATATCAGGTTCGGTAGGTCACGCGGCAAATTTCTACGAAATCGGAGGCGTGTTAGAAGTGACGGACTGTATTTTTGAGAACAACACAGCAGGTTCGGACGCCTATCCTATTCAATCTACCCATAGGCCAGAAAAAGAACAGAACGGGTTCCATTATATCACTTCCGGTGGAGGTATTTTCCTGAAATTAAACAACTTCACTCGGCATCGTCCAAGCTTCACGAATGTGACGTCAGCCGAGCATGACACTTATATCCATGGCAACCGTTACACCTTCACGAACTGCAGCTTTCTCAGAAACGAAGTTACCAGAGCGTCGGTTTCCCCGGACTATTTCCAAGAAAGGTTTGAGAATCCGTTCAGCGGCCAAGGAGGTGGTTTGGGAATATCCATGGTGGGTTATGCTAGCAATTCCTCAGTGCTCATTCAAAACTGTACGTTTTTGGCAAACAAAGCACCGTGGGGAGGGGGCCTGATGGTCGAGTTTGCTGATGCGAGTAGCAGAAACGTCCTCCTGGTCGAAAACAGTGTATTTGATGGTAACGTTGGACGCTCGGCTGGTGGAGGAGCTCGTGTAGGGAACATGCTAACACCAGGTGTCTCTGTTCCACTGAACAAAGTTCGTTTCGTGAACTCGGTGTTTCGAGATAACTGGGGCCAGTGGGGAGGGGGTGTCTCTGTCTATGGCACCTCTATTTTTTGCAAATGCAAACACAAGTTCAACAGCGAAAGTATTTTCTCTTTCCAATCGTGTCAGTGGAGGGGAAACAAGGGAACTGTTGGATCGGCCATAGCTGCGTTCCTGTTTAATCAAAATAGAGATCACATCGGCCCCGAAATTTCGTTTCATGTCGATTTTAACCATAGTCAAGTGGAAAACAACCAAGTCGAAATTCATGAAAGAAATGTTCTCATCGGAGAAGGGGCGATCTACAGCGTGGATGTATCGATCACTTTTCGAGGAAACACAACCATCAGGAACAACAATTTTACCGCACTTGTCTTAGATGGTGGAACACTAGAACTTCACGGCAACGTTGAATTTGTTGGCAACAGAGGATTTCGAGGAGGAGCAGTGGCAATGTACGGAAATTCACGGATTATACTGATGAAGAAATCGAGACTCTTTTTCAAGCAGAACTCATGTTCAGATAAAGGGGGAGCTATGTTCATCCAGACCCCTGGGTCTCCGCAGATTAGCTATGGTGTATCTGGAGATAACCCAAATGCTTGCTTCCTTGGTTACGAGGATAGCTGGAGTAACTTCGATGACTGGGACACGCGAGTAATTTTTCAAGATAACCAAGCACTCGACAATTCCTCGGGACACTCTGTTTTTGTTACAAGTCTTAAAAAATGCCGTAAGCCTGGGGAGACACGACTAAACAACTCCGTATTGGACTGGAAGTTTATTGAATACATCCGCACGTCGGAGAAGTCGTCGCGACGTTTAAATCAAACTGATAAACGAGAAGTCGTCACGAATCCTGTGGATATCGTCTACAGGAGGGGTGACTGGAATGTCTCCCCAAGTGAAGTTTTTAACCCAGTTGTTCAGCTACGCGACGAGAAGAACAATCCTGTTCGTGGAATTATAGAAGTCTCAGTGATGAATTCTACGAAAGGAGAAGATTCTACTTCTGTACATTTACAAACATCTTCGTCGCTCTTTGTAGCTGATGGAAACATCTCTCGCCTCAAACTGGGAGGCGACGTTGGAGGCGAATTCACAGTGGTTCTTCGGCATATCGGAAGACAAATTCTGCAGAGGAACATTCAAGTGACATCTTTGAAACGTTGTAATCCTGGATTCTATCTCAAGGATGGAAGTTGCGTGTGCCACGAGCAATCTGAGGGTGTCTCAAGATGCGACAAAAGTGGAAAGACCGTTTATCTTAAACGTGGTTTCTGGGCTGGAATGGTGGATGGGAACTTTACTTCTTATCGTTGTCCACATGGCCTCTGCAACTGCCCTCAGGGTCATGCTTTGTTACTTGCTGAGGATGAATGTGTCTTTATCGTTGAAGAAATGTGTGCAGGTAACAGAGAGCCGGGGAGTATTTTGTGTGGGAAATGCCGGACGGGTTTCAGCGTGGTGTTTGGTCACCGTAGCTGCTTTGAGTGTGGAAAGTATGGCTATCTTCTTATGATACCAATATACCTGGTCGTAATATTTGGAGTGATAAGTCTAGCAATGGTTTTTGACGTTGACGCATTCACAGGGTGGCTGAATGGTTGTTTGTACTTCTACCAAGTGATGTGGCAAGTCGTCGGAGAACAATTCATGTTCAGAGACTATTTTATGTTCTTTATCCTCAATTTGGTCAATTTCCGCCTGTGGATTGGAACTCACTTTTGCTTTTCGTCTCATTTGGATTACGCAGATAAGCTTTTCATTCAGCTTTTAACGCCTGCTTTCGTTTTGTTTGCGGTTGTCGCTCTGGCCAAGTTAGTGGGCAAGTACCCAAATTGGTGCTTCAGTCGGCGAGTGAAGGCACCCTTCCGCGCCATCTGCACCATCATTGTCCTCTGTTACACAGGCATCACTTCAGCATGCCTAGAGATTCTGCACCCTACAGTTATTGGTGACAAGACAGTGCTATACGTCAGTGGGCACACGGACTTCTTTAGAGGCAAGCATGCTGTCTATGGAAGTATTGCTGTCTTATTCCTTGTTTTCTTCGTGGTTCCATTTCCGTTGATTCTGATGTTCCGACCTTTCTTCACGCGGTGCCTTAAGCCAGTGTTAAACCTAAACCGCTTCAAACCAATCTTTGACGTGCTTCAGAGCTGCTTCAAGGACCAACATCGATGGTTTGCAGCTTTTTACTTCATTTGTCGCCTGGTCGTGCTGCTGATAGCCACGTATGTTCCATCTGGTCCCGTAAATCGGTCGCTTTTGGAGGTCACCTGCATTACGATCCTGTTAATCTTTTCCTACGTGAGACCCTACAAAAGATCTGAGGAAGGCAAAGATGGCGAGGCATGTAATTACGTCTTGGCGAACAGGTCAGACGCTCTCCTCTTATGGAACCTGTCCATCATGGCGGCCTTCAGTTCAGCCACTGAAAACGATGATATCCAGGAACGCCACAAAGCCGCCTTGAGGGTACTCATTCAAATCATGGCTTATGGCCCGTTTGCTGTAAAAGCCTGGGTTTTGTACAGGAAGACCAGAGTGCGTTGCGACAGTGGGTGGTGCAAAGACGACGAAGACCTAGACTTTCCTTCAGAAACGGTGGTGCACAAAGCAGGATCAGGAGCCTTGGATAGGTAAAAATGGCCTCCTCCTCAGCACTATTGAATTTACTGTCCGAAACCATCAGGGTTTCCGATTTTCCGCCAAAATTCAGTGACCCAGCACTGAAGATGGTGTTTCTTGACAAGCAGACACGACAGCTTTTGGACTGTTTGTGCTATTTTACATTGTTCATTGATAATTGCAAACACTTCTGTCACTGTTACTTTACTGGAATAATCATAGTTGAGTTTAAATTTTGTTATATCTCTCAGTTAGTATGCGCGCTGTGATTGGTCAATTTAGCGGGCCGTATTCTACTGTACGGCCTGCTAAAATTTAAAGCTATTTTTGTTGTCAAAATGTTTGATTTATCGCCATGTGTTCTTAACCTCTTTAGCAAGTAAGAGTTTAAAACTTTCTTTTACTTCTGAAATTGTGAATTGAAACCTGCTAACGACTTAAGAGTCACTTAACACTGATTTCAAATTGACTCGTTTTGCTTTCGAGGTGCGTCAGAAATTTGAAGCCGTTCCGCGTGAATAGAAATCGTTCCCGATCCCGTCAGACACACAATAGAGATATAATAAATATGTTACTAACCTCGTTTTCTCGGTCCGTACTGTAAGTTACGGATCCTCGTTTCCCCCTTCGAATTATGGCCCGCGCGCTTCGCGCTTGGGCCATAAATCGATGGGGGAAAAACTCGGTCCGTAACTTACAGTACGGCCCTCGAACTCGGTTAGTAAGAGNGCAAGTAAGAGTTTAAAACTTTCTTTTACTTCTGAAATTGTGAATTGAAACCTGCTAACGACTTAAGAGTCACTTAACACTGATTTCAAATTGACTCGTTTTGCTTTCGAGGTGCGTCAGAAATTTGAAGCCGTTCCGCGTGAATAGAAATCGTTCCCGATCCCGTCAGACACACAATAGAGATATAATAAATATGTTACTAACCTCGTTTTCTCGGTCCGTACTGTAAGTTACGGATCCTCGTTTCCCCCTTCGAATTATGGCCCGCGCGCTTCGCGCTTGGGCCATAAATCGATGGGGGAAAAACTCGGTCCGTAACTTACAGTACGGCCCTCGAACTCGGTTAGTAAGAGGTATCGACTAAAAAGGGTCTGAAGCGGGAGCCATTATGACGTGGCCAGCTGATTCTGTTATGGCCAAGAGTATAAGCAGTCGGGTTAAGACTAAACAATCAGCCTTAATGTGGGGCATAAAATTTCAAGCTCTAGGACATTTTCAATTTCTTGAGATGGAAAAAGTAGTTTCCACAGAAACCAGCCAGCATTTGCTTGTGTGCAATAACTTCATTTTCAATTAATGTAAGCTAAGAGATTTAATTACAGGAACAAAAAAAATAACGACAAGAAAAATCGCTTTGTTTCGCGAAATAGTTTTGGCTATGTTGTGGTTCAATTTTATCCTTGGTTCAACATTAACTTTTTCTTTGTTTTGGTGAGTATAAAACAAAGAAAAAATTGAAACTGAACCAAGGTTAAAATTGTAACACAACCATGTACCACAAGTTATCACAAGGGAATACTGTTTAGATTGATATTTTTTGCAGAGATTTATTTCTGCCCATTAATCCAGACGTGATTTTGTTGTTGCACGATCAGCGACATTGCTATCAGTGACTGATTCAGTCTTGCATACAAGGTGAAGGGCCGGTGCCCGGTAGGGGGTGGGGGGGGGGGGGGGGGGGGGGGGGGAAGGTAATCGACAAAGTTTTATACGGGGAGGCTGCGCCCCAATGTTCAAACCCTTACCCTTTTGTCTACCATTTAATAGCAAAGCTACTACATTACATCTCGTTTCTAAACCCTTGAAAAGAGGTTTATGGTGTAAAGCTTAATAAATTAGATGACACAGCCGTAAGGTGCTTCTGTTAGAAGTATTATAATTTTAAGTCACCTTTAAACACCTAAATAACAGATTACCCTGCCCATTCATGTACCTGTCGTTTTACTTACCTGAAGCTTGGAAAAGGCACCCCTTTCGGGCGGAGCCTCCCTGCATAAGCCATTATAGGAAGTACCCCCCGGAGTTGGTGAAAAAAGGTTGTGGGTAGGATAGCAAGACAGTTGTAGAGAGTTGGCCGAAGAGACGGGGTCCAGGCCCCTTGGCCTGGATGCAAAATGACGATTTCTGAGGTGATGGCGCCAAACAATCGATTGGTGTTTGCAATATAAAGATTTAACCAATCCGTCACTAAGAAAGATTGGATTGTGACATGTATGTTTTTTATCATATCAATTCACAGGTTTCTACTATTGCTGGCTCGTTGGTTAGTGAAAACAGCTCAGAGTTCGACTTCTAGCGAAAATCAAATGTCATTTTTTTTTATCAATGAGCAAGTGTCCAATTTTATATTAACCAGTAAGCCGTAAAGTTCACAAAAAAAAATAGTTTCCTTAACAACGCTTGGTTTCTTCAAGATGTCTTAGGAAAAAAAACTGTCTTCAGCATCGATGAAAATTAAGGTTCTCTGCCCATTTATGAAGGGGTTTTGCATTCCTGTAACGAAGTCGTTCCGCAGTTTTCTCATTGTCAGGGTGTGTGCTCAACACTTTATCGACAACCAAACATGTCCAGTGTTTGGACCATACAAGAAAGATTGTAAGAACACGAAGAAACCAAACTAAAACAAAAACAATAACAATAAAAAAATAAAAAAAAATCGTGGATCACTTTGTTTCCTCAAAAATTCAAATGACACAGCGATAAGCTGCGGTAAAGACCACTGTATCCTTTCATACTGTTTACCACATCCAGAACACAACAAAAATATGAAGGTTTTATTAAAATTCAAGAAAAAGTCAAGTTAGTCAATTCGAGGCTGTGTTGCATGGCTTCATGGAGTGGCAGTTTTAGTGTGAAGCTGTTTACACAAAAGTTTTCAATTTTATTCACCACTTATTACAAATACACAACTTGGTTGTGAGACACACGTGGAATGTTTCTGAGAACTGAAGGAACCCGTGGTTATTCACTAGGTAATATGACGTAAACATGTGACGTCATGCTGGCCAATGTTCTCCTTTGGAGTCCCGTGGGCTTGTTCCCATTGCTTACACTGGACTATTTCAATGAAAAGAGCCATACAAAACGACAAAAATGCAGGTTTTTTTCCTTTTTCTCGTCACCCTGACTTATTTACGACATCCAAGGCAACCTTTAATTTACAGGAGAAAGAGCTGGACCGATAAATCTTAGTCTTTCAACTTGTTCCGCTCTCGAACCGGCGTTTCTGCGCCCTCGAGCCAACGTTTTCGTTGAATTCGTCCCAGGCTCCTCGCCTTTTCGAAATGCCGTCTAAACAGTGTGGAGTAGACGTCTGGATCATTCCCACGCGGACCGGGCTCAAACACATTCTGACGCAAAAGCTTCGGGATATTTCCCGCGGGTTTATAAAGAGCTACGACGTACATGGGCCCTGATTGAGTAATAGAGCTTTTAGCGCATCCAATTCCAACTTCCTTTGTGTCCTTCCATATTACCTTGGATTTACAATGAAGAAAACATGTTGATTAATAACACAATATGTAACACTTAAGGCGGGGGTTAACATAAAGGCCGTATTTTTGCTGGGTATTATATATGGTTTGAATGCAAACATCTCGTTCACGTTTCAAGCAGTGAA